GGCCCCACAGAGCAGCCGCGTCTTCTGGAACAGGGCCGCCTGCCAGGGCTGGGAGTGAGGCTGGCATTCGTACCCCTTGATGATCCTGGTTTCTCCCCCTACGTGCCCTGGAGAGGGTGGGAGTAAAGGCCGGCGCTCAGGAAGGAGAGGTGAGGAGGAGAAGGAGAGGGGCCGGGTGGTCTGGACACCCTCCTACCCTAGCCTGGAGTAGCGCTGGGTGGACAGGCAAGGCATTGAAGGATGGAAATACGTCCATACTGGCGGGTCAGTCACTGCTGTCCTGAGCTCTTTGAGTGACCTGCCCTGCCCCCAGCAGCTGTCCTGGCCCCTCCCCTGGGACCCCCTTGATTTCTCCTCCTCCTGGCATCCAAAGGGAATATCCGAAGGGGCACCCAGCACCTCACTATGCCATATGGGTTATCTTATAATTTGAATATAAGTCCTGTCAGTGTCAGACACAGAGGGTTGGGGACCCTGGAGCTTCCAGAGGGAGGCCCCGCCCTTTTCCCCCCAACCCCCCCTCCATCGTACCTGTCACCAGAGCAAGGGTGATTAATCGCAGAATCCTCATGGCCCTGAGGGGAGAAGGGCAGGCCCCAGGTTCCTCTGGGAACAAGGAGGGATGTAGGGCCACATCAGGTTACACAGCTTGCGCATGCCCTCCCCTCTCTCCCTCACCTGCTCTGACTCCCTCCTTCTCCCATCCCTGGGAGAAACAAGATTAGGGGAGTCCCCTCTTTCTCACAGCACCCCGGCCTCCAGACACTTAAAATAAATCTTAGGGATCAGGGTGGTCTTGGAGGGCCCCGATCACAGTTAGAAGCTTCCGGTATGCCAAGGAGGATGTGGAAATTGCTGGGCAGCTTCAGAGAGACGGGACGCAGAGAGGAGAGAAGTTTGCAGAGGTGACACGGGTGGGCAGGGAGTACCTGGGCTGGCCCCATTTCAGTAGGCCCTGGGATCTCCCAGGCACATTTTGGAGAAGGTTTTTGCCCACCTGAGCCCAGCCAGGCCTTGGCAGTTTGGGGTGGAAGGAGACAGGGAGGCACCCATTTCCATCATCCCAGGGGCAGGGTTAGCCAAGGAGGCTTTGGAGTCTGCTTGGGGTGGAGCAGGGAGCTCAGGCAGGACACTGTCTGGCCCCATGGTGCTGAGCCCCTGCCCCTTCGAAGGACAGCCAGATGGCAGCCGGATGGGGCTGGGCGGGGCTGGTCAAGGGGAGGGCCAGCGACCTCAGCTGCCCTGGCCAGCGGGGGTGGGAGCAGAGGGCTGGCTCAGCTGCCTAGGCCCAGGTCCAAGGTCACCGAGGTTGGGGGCAGCCGGTGGGAGGTGAGAGCAGTGAGAGCCGCAGAGAGAGGAAGGGGATTCCCACCCAAACCAAGGACAGAGCAGAGGGAGAAAGGGGTCCTGAGGCAGAGGGGGGAGGGTGCCCTCCGAGGGGTGGGGGCGGCAGACGTCTGGAGAGGGCTGGTCCCTTCCCTCCTGGACTCACGGGCTCTGGGGCTGGGGCTCTGGGGGCCGGCGGCGCGCTGCGGCAGACTGGATTGGAGCGAGAGGCAGCAGGCAGGCCGGCAGGCAGGGGGTGGCCCGGGCGGGCCCCAGATGACTGGCCTCCAAGCCCTGCCTTATCGCCCTGGGGGCGGGGTGTGCGTGGGGGCCCTCCCCGCCGGCCGGGCCTCCCAGGCGCTGCTTGCCTGTGTCACTTAAGCAAGCCCCTCTCCTCTGTGCACCTCCGTCCCTCAGCGTCCTTCCTGTTCCCGCCCCGTCTCTCTGAAACTGTGTCTATCTCTGCCTTTCAGCAGTTGTGTGTGTGTGTGTGTGTGTGTGATTTTTCTCTTTCTGTCCCTAGGTGTCCGTCTAGTCTGTTTGTCTTTCTCCATCTTGGCTCATCTCTCCGTCTCGCTCTGCCGGTCCCCTTCTCTGACTCCTGTCTCTGTGTCTCTGACTTTCCTGCGTCCCTCTCATCTCAGTCTCCCTGCCCTTCCTCCTCCTGCTCCTCCCTCGGTGGGCCCCCCTCCTCCCCACCTTTCCCAGGCCCGCCTAGCTCCTTTCCAAGGGGTGGGGGAAAGGGGCCGGATGGGAGGGTGGGGGAGGCAGGTTGGGGCCTGCGGGAGCCAAGGCCAGGAAAGGCAGCCCGGCCCTCGGCTGCGCCCCACTCCCTCCCAGCTCCTCCAGGCCCTCACTTTTCTGCTGACCTTTTCCTCCGCCCCCTCTGCTGTGTCTATCTGGATCTGGCAGTGGCACTTACTGTTGTGGCCTTGGCCGGATGACTTCCAGTCCTCCAGCCACTTCAACTTCCTCTTCTGCGGATCCCTACTGCTCCCAACTTGCCGGCTCAGTTAGGTCCCTTCCCTGGGCCTTCCTCTCTCCCCTGACCAGATGTGAGCCAGGAAGGGTAGGGCCTGGGTTCTCACAGCAGCCAGCCCTGGCCTCAAACCCTGGCTCTTCCTCTTCCTGCTACTGGGACTATCCCTATGACGTGGGGCCAAGGACTCCACCCCAGCGAGGCTCAGTTTCTTCATCTGCGAGATGGGGGTGATGACCTTGCTTGGGTGAGGGACTGCAGTCAGGCCTCCGGAGGGCTGTTAGGGTCAGCTCTCACTCCCCCTCACCTCCAGCTCCCATTCAGTGTATTTGGGGAGAAGACATTCTCTTTCCACCCTACTGGAGAGGCGGTGAAGACTGAACCTGGGGAGTGGGCAGGACCATTTAAATCCTTGTTTTCCAAGGCTGCACTCCACCCTTGGTTCATCACATTTTTGTGGGGAAGGGGATTAGGGTCTTCCTCTGTCATCCAGGATGGAGTGCAGTAGTGTGCTCACAGCTCACTGCAGCTTTGACCTCCTGGGCTCAAGCAACCAATACTCCAGCTTCAGCCTCCTGAGTAGCTGGGACTATAGGCATGCACCACTACGCCCAGCTAATTTCTTTTTTTTTACTTTGGGTAGAGACAGGGTCTCCCTATGTTGCCCAGGCTGGCTTCAAACTCCTGATATCAAGCGATCCACCCATCTCAGCCTCCCAAAGTGCTGGGATTACAGGCATGAGCCACCGCACCCAGCCTTCACAATTACACTAAAATAAAGCCACAGCCTAAATTTTAAAAAAATGTGAAGCCAGGCTTGGTGGCTCAGCCTGTAATTCCGTGCTTTGGGAGGCCAAGGTGAGTGGATTGCCTGAGCCGCGGGTTCGCGACCCGCCTGGGCAACTTGGCAAGACCTCATCTCTACAATAAATCAAAAAATCAGCCGGGTGTGGTAGTGCATGCCTGTAATTCCGGCTATTCGGAAAGCTGAGGTGGAAGGATCACCGGAGCCCAGCAGGTTGAGGCTGCAGTGGCCAGGAGCGGCCACTGTGCTCCAGTCTGGGCGACAGAGTGAGACTCCAACTCAAAAAAAAAAAAATGTGTATTTCACTACAGGAGAATCAGTTGCAGTTGTCTAGTAGAAAGACTGTTCGGTTTTATGGACATGTGACTAAATGGTCATAAATTTTGCAGTTTTCATTTAGTATGTTGGAGTGAACAATTTTCTTTTTCCCCCTCAGTTCCTTCATGGGCCCTCGAAAAGCTTATAAGCTCTGGGCATTGTTTCTCTCATATCAGATGGAAAAAAATGACCCTTATTTTTATTTGCTCTATGTAACTTTTTCTACTTCATTTCTGTGTGACCCGAGGGAAGATGCTCACCTCTGAGCTATTGTTCCACCTGTCAGGTAGAGAAATCAGTCAGCCCCTCCTCCAGTCTCAACCAGCAGGGGGACATTAAGTAGACAGACATAGCCCCTCCTTCAGTTATATGATATTTATAACAGCTGCACACTCCTGTTGTCCCAGTCACTGGTCCTTGAAGGGCTGGCAGGAATTGGAGTTCCTCAGACCAGTTGGGAGCTGGGGGTGGTGACGGAAGGAAGAGGTATTGGTGCTCTGAGGGTCAGAGTGGCCCCCAGGTTGAGGGGTGGAGGTGGAGAAAGCAGTTCAGTTGTTTCTCATGACCATCTGGATCCAGTCCACATACTTGCAAACATTGGTGTAGACTCCTGGGATGTCCTTTTGTCCACAAGGCCCCACGGACCCCCAGGACACCAGACCCTGAAGGACTCCCCCACACACCAAGGGGCCGCCAGAGTCACCCTAGAAGGGAGAAGGAGAAGACTACTGTTTGAAAAAGGGAGAGATCCTGTTCCCGTTTTCCTCCCCAACTTTCCAACCCATTCCTGGGCCTTGAGGACAGTAACTCCAAGTCTGGTCATCAAAGAAAAGAGAACAGGCAGGACAATGGCAATGCAGAACCAATAGAAAAGAGCACTGTCCCTAGATGCTCATCCCAAGGGAGGAGGACAGAACTCCATAAAGGGTAGAGTTTGCTCAAGGACCATGACTGGAGACTTGACCAGTGAGGGGAGAGAGCACCATCACCAATGACCAATCCCAAGGGAGGAGGGCAGGACTCCATAAAGGTTAGGACAGTCTCTCAAGGACAAGGACTTGGGCCCTGACCAATGAGTGGAGAGAGCAACATCACTAATGACCAATCCCAGGGAAGGAGGGCAGGACTCCATAGAGGGTAGAGAATTTGCTCAAATGACTGGGGCCCTGACCAACGAGGGAGAAAAGCACCATCACCAATGACCAATCCCAGGGGAGAAGGACAGGACTCCATAAGGGTAGAGAATTCAGAAGACAATGACTGGGGCCCTGACCAACGAAAGGAGAGAGCACCCTCTCCAATGACCAATCCCGGGGGAGGAGGGCGGGACTCCACAGAGGGCAGAGAGTTCTCTCAAGGACAAGGACTGAGACCCTAACCGATGAGGGAAGAGAGAAGACCTTTACCAATGACCAACCCTAAGGGAACAAGGGAAGATGGGGGGGGCGAGACACACACACACACACACACACACACACACACACACACACACACATGGGATTCCATAAAGAATAGAGGATTCTTTCAAGGACAATGACTGGGCCCTGACCAATGAGGGGAGATAGCACCATCACCTATGACCAGTTCCAGGGAGGAAGGTGGGGCTCCATAAAGGGTAGAGAGTTCTTTCAAGGACAATGACTGGGGCCCTGTCCTTCACTCCATCCTCAGATCACTGGAGGATGGCATGGAAAAGATTGCTCCGAATCCTGACATGTTCTCTGCTACCCCTTTCCCTCTCCCCATCTTTTCTGTGCCCTCTCTCTGTGCCCCCTGCCCCATCTTTCCCTCTCTGTTCCCCGACTCATCTCCCATCACTGCCCTCCCTGCTTCCAGTTCCTCCCCTTCCCTTCCCTTCCTGTCCTGGGTGACCAGCCGACCATCGCCTGCACTGGCTCACCTGGCAGGCATCCTCCCCGGCCACGCCACCGGCGCACACCATGTTTTCCGTGATCCTTCCGGGGTACACGGCATGGCAGGCCGCATCAGAGATGATGGAGAGGTTGAGGCACTGGAGCAGGTCTGGGAACGGATCTGGGGATGGAAGATGGGTGCCGTGGAGTCTCCCAGACCTCCCCACTTTAAGGCCACATCCCTCCTTCCAATCCAAGTCAGTCTCCTGCCTCCCACCAACCTGTACTACAATCCTAAAATTTCTACGTTTCAGATGTATGACTCAGTTTCCTAGTGACTCATGACCCTAGGTCATTGGCCCAGCTCAGTCCCCTTGACCTTGGACTTTGAGAGTCATTATTAACTCAAGACCCTTTTCATCTCTCCCACCCCAGATACAATTAATCTAGATCTTACTTTCTCCTTCTAGCCCAGAGGCTGTGACCTTTGACCTTCTATCTATGACCTGATGATCCCAGCTTGACTTCAGGTCTTCTGTCTCCTGACCTCATGTCCTTGTCTTCACCTTCACCTCCAATCTCAGCTCTGCATCCTCTAAACCTTCACTTCATTGCTCCCAACTCCAAAGTGTCCTCTGATCCTAGTTTATTTGACCCCAGGCTCTGTGATCCCAAACCTCTGGCCTCACACCCCAAACCCTAGGACTTCCAGCCTCAGATATATGTTCCCTGTGAGAATCCCCATTTCCATCCTCAGATTCTGACCAGATTATGCAACACCTGGATCCCATGACCTCAACTTTGCAGTGACCTCTAACCCCGGAGCCAGTGACCCAGGATGCCCAGTTCCTTTTTATATTTATCAGGGGGGGACCCAGAAAGAATTGGAATTATCTTTTGGAGGGCAGGCCCCTTGGAGTACAGGCTTCCCACACTAGGTAAGTGTTCTGGGAGCTCACTGGCATCAGTGAACCAGCTAGCACTGTTGTGAGAGGATGTGTTCGACTTTAATGCATTTTTTTTGGAGATTCCTTCAGTGTGTTTGCCTATTTCATGATGGGTGATTTACGAGCACAACTGCCCACACCATGCTGAGTGTTCAGAAGTTTTTTACCCCAAACAGCATGACTCCCCCTGTCCTACCCTCCCTATTCACCTGATCCCACCCTGGGTGATTTTTTGGTTGTTTTCCCAGATGAAGGATGTCCTCAGAGGGAAACATTTTACCCATGTGAGAGCGGTAAAACAAAAAATGGCAGAAGCACTAAAAGGCATCAGACTGGACGAGTTCAAAAACTGTTTTGAGCAGTGGAAAAAGCATCTCGACTGGGCACGGTGGCTCAAGCCTGTAATCCCAGCACTTTGGGAGGCCGAGGCGAGAGGATTGCCTGAGTCCGGGGGTTTGAGACTAACCTGGGCAACTTGGAAACACCTCGCCTCTACAATAGCACATGCCTGTAGTTCCGGCTATTTGGAAGGCTGAGGCGGAAGGATCACCTGAGCCCAGCAGGCCAACACTGGGGTGGCCGTGAGTGTGCCACTGTACTTCAACCTGGGCTATGGAGTGAGACTCCAACTCAGGAAAAAAAAAAGCATCTCGATAGGTGTATTGCATCAAATGGAGAGGACTTGGAAGGTGACTGTAGTTTGAACACATTAGAATAAATACACAATGTGTAAATACATTCCAGGTTTTTGGGTCCCCCTCGCATATGTGCCGTTTGCCCTAGTCTGATGACTCCTTTGCACTCTGACCTCCCACCGCATCCCTGATCCATACCCGATACCCAATACTCCATACCCAGTATTCCATACCGAATCTCTTAACCTCCTTGATTCCCAAGACCCCAATTCACTATGACCTCTGACCCTAAACCACAGTCCTGATGTTTGATTCCACACTCTATCCCTTTACCCATCCTTCCTCCGAGGTGTCATGACTCTTGACCTCTCACCCCACGTCCCAGGATTTTACCCATCCTGACCCCTGGCCCCAGGGCCCCCTTACTCCATGGTCGGTTGGTGGTGCCCCAACCCGAGATGTGGCACTGGGTGCCGGTGGTGGCACATGTGCTGGGCAGCGGCAGAGGCTGGACGCTGCGGGTCAAGCGGACGGGCAGGCCCAGCCGCAGAAGCCGGAGGTCGTGGTCATGGTTCCGCCGGGCTCCCTGGTAGCCGGGGTGGGTCACCGAGAAGCGGCTGCGTCGGATCTGCTCCGTCCAGTCCAGATGGCGGAGGCTGTGCTCCCCCAGGCGCACCCAGTACCTGCTGAGGGTGGCGGTGTCTCAGCGGGTGGCAGGCAGGCGGCCCCAGCATCCCCTGCACCGGCACTCCCAGCCCTCCTGCCTCCTCTCATTCCCTGTGTCTCTCTTTACAGTTTCCTAGATTCTATCGCTGTCATCATCATCTTTTCTTTTTCTTTTTTTTTCAGAGTCTCACTCCATTGTCTAGGCTGGAGTGCAGTGGCACACTCATGACCACCCAGCATCAACCTGCTGGGCTCCAGAGATCCTTCTGCCTCAGCCTTCCAAGTAGTGAGAACTACAAATGTGCGTTACCATGCCCAGCTGATTTTTGCTTTATTGTAGAGACAAGGTCTCACCAAGTTGCCCAGGCTTGTCTCAAATCCGCGGGCTCAGGCAATCCTCTTGCCCCAGCCTCCCAAAGTGCTGGGATTACAGGCTGAGCCACCGAGCCTGGCGTTTTTTTTTTTTTTTTTTTGAGTCAGAGTCTCACTCTGTAATCCAAGCTGGAGTGCCATGGCATGCTCAGGACACCCCAGCGTCGACCTGCTGGGTTCCAGCGATCCTTCTGCCTCAGCCTTCCAAATAGCCAGAACTACTGGCGCACGCTACCACGCCTGGCTATTTTTAAAATTTATTGTAGAGATGAGGTCTTGCCAAGTTGCCCAGGCTAGTTTCAAACCTGCAGGCTCAGGTAATCCACTCACTTCGGCCTCCCAAAGTGCTGGGATTACAGGCTGAGCCACCAAGCCTGGCCAATCACCATCTTTTCATTTGGGATGTTCACTCTGTTGCCTCTCCCATACCGTACACCTGTGTCTCTTTCGAGTCAGGGTCTCACTCTGTCACCCAGGCTGGAGTGCCATGGCACCATCATGGCTCAACGAAGCCTCAACCTCCTGGGCTCAGGCGATCTTCCTGTCTCAGCCTCCTAAATAGCTGGACTACAGGCGCGTGCCACCACGCCTGGCTAATTATTTTATTTTGTTGTTTTGTAGAGATGAATTCTCACTATGTTGCCCAGGCTGGTCTCGAGCGCCTGGGCTCAAGAGATCCTCCCGCCTCAGCCTTCCAAAATGCTGGGATTGCAGGTGTGAGCCCCCCTGCCCCCACGCCTGACCTGTCTCTGATTTTCTCATCTGGGGAGCACCACTGTGCCTTGTCTACCAGTGAATCCCCACACCTGGCACATTGTCAGCACTGCTGACTGAACAGACAAGTGGATGCAGATGGCTTCCCTTCATGCTGTCCTTGGCTCTCCTGGTCCCTGGGTCTCTCTGTCCCTTTGCCTCTGAACTTCCATTCACAAAAAATTAGATCCAAGCAAACCAAATCTCTCATTTCACAAAGAGATTACAACAGCCCAGAGAGGTGCTGGGTAGAATCCCTGAGATTGCACAGAGTTTGTGTCAGGCATGGTCCCACGGCCCAGACTGGGACAGGGAATAGCTGGTGCTAGTGGCAGATGTCATATAGGAAAGAAAAGGGGCACGTAGGAATGGGAGGGGGCACACGGGCAGGTTCCAGGACTCTCCCTGGCCCTTCCCACCACATCTCACCCCACCCGGCCCCACCTCAGACCCACTGTTGAGGAAGTGCTACTGCTTTTCTAACCTCAGACTCTCTTGTTGCAGGACCAGCTTCTTACCCCTTGGCACTACCTTCCTGTGCTGTGTGATCCTACCCCCAGCACTTGCCTCCCCATAACCACCCCCTTCGCTGACCCCAGGAAGGAATTTAGACCGGGGCTTACCTGCCGCTGCAGTGAGCAGCTGTGAGGACCCACCTGCGGTCAATGAGGACACCCCCACAGCGCAGGTTGGTACCCTCAAACAGCCCCACCTGCCAAGGCTGTGAGTTACGCTGACACTCGGTGCCATTGACAATCTTCGGTATGGTTGCCCTGCTGAGGCCTGGGGACAGGAGCATGGGTCAGAGAGAGGAAGACAGATACAGAGGTGGAGAGACACAGAGACAGAGGCACAGAAACAGGCAGGAGAAAGAAAGAGACAGAGAGAGAGAGAGAGAGAGAGAGAGAGAGAAACAGACTAGTGATAGAAGAAAGACAGTGAAACACCAAAGAGAACCAGAGAGAAAGATGCTTAAAGGTAGCAGAGAAATATGGCCAGGTGTGGTGGCTCATGCCTGTAATCCTAGCACTTTGGGAGGCCAAGGCTGGAGGATGGCTTGAGCCCAGAAGTTCAAGACCAGGCTGGATAACATAGTGAGACCTCGTATTTTCAAAAAAATAAAAAATTAGACAAGCATGGTGTTACATGCCTGTCGTCCTAGCTACTCGGGAGGCTGAGCCTGTAAGATTGCCTGCGCCCAGGAGGTTGAGGTTGCGGTGAGCCGTGATTGTGCCACTGCACTTCAGTCTGGGTGACAGAGTGAGACCCTGACTTAAAAAAAAAAGAGGGAGAGAGATTTGGAGAGAGTCAGAAGGAGAGATGGATCCAAAGATACAGCACAGAGAGGTAAGCAGTGTCTCAAGAACTGGAGGTAAATCGAGGCACAGAGTAAGCCCCCAACTCCTCAATGCTAGGCTTGGGCCAGAGCTGAGATGGGAGGTGGGGACCCAGCCACTGTCCCTCCCTCTCTCTGCCCAGGAGAACTCACCGAGAACACACAGGAGCAAAAGAATGCAGGGCCCCATGGTGGGCCTCCTCCGGGTCCTGGGGGGGATGAAGGGGGAGGTCTCAGAGATCGCCCTCTCCTGGGGCCCCTCTTCTGCCCTCTCCTCTTCTTTTTGCCAATCACCGAGGGGATGCCCTGAGAGACCCCCTCGCTGGAGATCTCGGCCCTCGTCTCCCTTTGTCTCTGCCTGCCAGGTCCTCTACGTGGCTGTCACCGGTCCAGCCTGTCTGTCTCTCTGCTACCTCTCCGTCCACCTACCTGCCTGCCCTCTCATCCGGCGGCTACCCTGCCAGGCAGCGCTCCCACTCTCCACCTGGCTCCTCAGCCACCTGTCATGTTGCCCAACCCGTCCCCTTCCTTCCTTCTGTCACCCCAGACTGGCCACTGACAAAGCTCTATAACTCCTTTGTTCCAGCCCTTCTGATTTCCGTGTTGAGGGAAGGGGATGAGGAAGACGAGGGTGGGGCGTTCTCTAATGCAGCAGAAACTGTCCTCAGTTAATCACACTTAATTGGGCTGCATAGCTAAATGGAGCAGGGAGGGAGGAAGGGACCCAGAGCGGGAAGACCCAGCCTCACTCCCTGTCTCCTCTCCAAGTCAGCTGGCAGCCCTGGGACAGATGACTCAAGGTGACTGGGGAGGTGAGTTCTAATCCCAACTCCAGTGACTGGTGATGAACGAAGGAGGGTGGGGACGCCGCAGACACCTGGGGCCTGTCCCCATGCGGTACAGGGCAGGGGCAGGAGGAAGGGGAGGCTGTGAGAACAGGAGAGTGAATGTGAGGGGCAGGAAGACCAAGCACAGAGGGAGTCCCGGAAAAAGAAGAGAGGAAGGAGCAGATTCAGAACACGTCACCGGGAGAGATGGAAGAGTTTCTGAGCTGGATTCTGCAGAAGACTGATTCAAACTGAATTTTTAAAAATTGTTTATTTATTCTTTGTTGGTTTTTTTTTGCAACACCCCTGGTGACTGCATTTATTAAATTTTTAAAATATATGGTCAACTCTGATCACCTGAGAAGACTCTCACCCTGACTGCTTCAAGAAGCACAGATCGGCCGGAATCGGTGACTCAGCCTGTAATCCCAGCACTTTGGGAGGCTGAGGCGAGTGGAATGCCTGAGCCTGCGGGTTCGAGACCCACCTGAGCAACTTGGCGAGACCTCGTCTCTACAATAAATAAAAAATTAACCAGGCATGGTAGCGCGCACCTGTAGTTCCGGCTACTTGGAAGGCTGAGGTGGAAGGATCGCCGGAGTCCAGCAGGTTGAGGCTGCAGTGGCTGGAAGTGTGCCACTGCACTCCAGTCTGGGTGACAGAGTGAGACTCCAACTCAAAAAAAAAAAGAAGAAGAAGAAGAAGAAGCACACATCTTATATGAAGTGGCTTTACTTGATCCCATGACGGGTTTTCTTTGTAAAGTGAAAGAGAAAGAAAGAGACATTGGAAATGACAAATGACAGAGAGACAGAGAGAGAGAGAGGATAAGAAGAGAAATCTATGTTGTTTATCTGAGGTTTTGCTTTGTCTGGGAGGAAAGGAAGGATAGAAAGGTGGGAAGAAAGATGGAGGGAGAGAGAGGGAGAACAAAAAGGCAACGAGACTCAGAGAAAGGTAGACTGAGAAATAGACCAAGAGAAAGGCAGTCAGAGAGAGTGTTAACACCAAAAAGAAACATGGGAGAAGGGACCCCCACCCCATCATGTTTGTCTTCTGGTCCTTAATTTTCTCTTTGGGTCTCGGATCTTTCTTTTTTATGTCTGTTTTCAGAACCACAGAACTTCAGCTTTTGATTTGCTCTTACCTGACTCAACCCTTCCTTTTTAAATGGAGTTTTGGGGACTCAGGGGCACTGAGATGCAATTTACATCCAATAAAATGGAATACAAAAAATAAAACAGGGTCTCTAATTTTAAGGGGCGTTCATGCAAATTGAAAATTACCATACAGGCCTGACACTGTGGCTCACTCCTGTAATCCCAGCACTCTGGGAGGCCAAGGCTGGAGGATTGCTTGAGCCCAGGAGTTCGAGACCAGCCAGGGTAACATAGCAAGACTTCCTCTCTACCAAAAAATCAAAAAATTAGCCAGGTGTGGTGGCGCACACCCGCAGTCCCAGCTGCTCGGGAGAGGCTGAAGTGGAGGGATTGCCTGAGTCCCGGAGGTTGAGGCTATGGTGAGTTGTGATCATGCCACTGCACTCCAGCCTGACTGACAGAGTGAGCTCCCTACTCAAAAAACAACAATAACAAAAAGAAGATAGCTCCTGGGACCCGGCCTGAAACTTTAGCTCATCTGATGATACACTGGGGCCATCCAGCCACATTCTATTTCTTTTCTTTTTTTTTTGATTTGGAGTCTCACTCTGTTGCCCAGACTGGAGTGCAGTGGCACTCTCGCGGCCACCGCAGCTTCAACCTGCTGGGCTCAGCCTCAGCCTTCCAAGTAGCTGGAACTACAGGCGCGCGCTACCACACCCAGCTAATTTTTTGATTTATTGTAGAGATGAGATCTCGCCAAGTTGCCCAGGCGGGTCTCGAACCCGCAGGCTCAGGCAATCCATTCACCTCAGTCTACCAAGGCGCGGGATTACAGGCTGAGTCACCAAGCCCAGCTCACGCTCTATTTCTAATCTCAATTTGCTCATTTGAAAAATGGGGCCAGGAGGATATATATATATATAGAGAGAGAGAGCTGTATATTGCTTCCTCTGGGAACATCAAACAAGACAACCGAACACGAATGAGAATACTAGGTGGTTAAGTGTAGACACCATCAAAATGGCTCTTACCAGTTTAATTTCTGTGAGAAGGAATTTGCAAAGCCCACTTAGATGATACAATCTTTTTCTCCCTGAGATGTAAAGAAATACCAGTGATTACTTGTTATTGTTCTGTCTCCACATTTACTTCTTTCTCTCACATTCTATTTTTGTCCTATTCATTCATTCATTCATTCATTCTTCCTGGGGTGTCCACAGACTTCTGTGTCGCCCAATCCAGGGACCACCTCTCTGTCCTTGCCTTACTTGACTTCTCAGCAGCGTTCAGCCGGGTGTTCCCTCCTTGAAACTGACTCCTGTCCCAGCTTCCAGGGCACCACGCAATTCCGATTTCCTTCCTGCATTTCTGGCTTCCCTTCCTGGCCTCTTTCATGACTAGGCCTTTCCTCCCTCCACCAATGTTTTAAAAAATGAGGGTGTTGGCCGGGCACGATGGCTCATGTATGTAATCCCAGAGCTTTGGGAGGCCGAGGCGGGAGAATTGCTTGAGCCCAGAAGTTTGAGACTAGCCTGGGCAACATAGTGAGACCTCGTCTCTACAAAAAAAAAAAAAAAAAAAGAAGAAAATAGCTGGGCGTGGTAGCACATGCCTGTAGTCCCAGCTACTCAGGAGGCTGCAGTGAGAGGATTGCTTGATGATTACACTACTGCACTCCAGTCTGGGTGGCAGGATGAGACTCTGTCTCTAAACAAAACAAAACAAAACAAAACAAAAGATGTAATTTCAGTAATATTGGGTATGGAGACCTTAATGAGTACAGGATGTTTTGGTCGACCTGCTTACTGGGCTCCGGAGATCCTTCCGTCTCAGCCTTCCAAGGAGCTGGAACCACAGGCACACGCTGCCATGCCCAGCCAATTATTGAATTATTGTAGAGACGAGGTCTCACCAAGTTGGCCGGGCTCAAACCCACGGGTTTAGGCAGTTCTCTCGCCTCGGCTTCCCAGAGTGCTGGGATTATAGGCTGAGCCACCTAGCCAGGCCATCACCTCACATTCTTATCATTTTTTTTTTGTGTGGTGAGAACACTTAAAATCTACTTTCTTAGCAAATTTCAGGTACAAGAGTCCTCTCTTGTTCACAGGGGTTACATTCCAAGACCCCAGTGGAGACCTATGATAAAATTAAATGTATGAACTAGGCATAGTAAGAGATTAACCACAATGACTAGCAATAATTAAATAGAGCAATTATAACAAAATGCTGTAATAAAATTGTGTGAGTGTGGTCTGTCTCTCTCTCTCAAATGTCTTATTGTACTGTACTGTACTCATCTGATTTTGGACTGTGGTTTACCACAGGTAACAGAAACTGCAGAAAGCAAAACCACGGAAAAGGGAGGATAACTGTATATAATATGTTGTTTTGTTTTGTTTTATTTTGAGGTGGAGTCTCACTCCATAGCCCAGACTGGAGTGCAGTGGCATGCTCACAGCCACCCCAGTGTTGACCTGCTAGGCTCCGGCGATCCTTCCGCTTCAGCCTTCCAAGTAGCCGGAACTATAGGCGCGTGCTACCACACCTGGCCAGTTTTTTATTTATTGTAGAGATGAAGTCTTACCAAGTTGCGAGGGCTGTTCTCGAACCTGCAGACTCAGGCAATTCACTCACCTCGGCCACTCAAATTGCTGGGATTGCAGGCTGAGCCACCGAGGCCAGCCAATATGTTGTTATTGACTATAGACACTCTGTTGGATAATAGACCCCGTGTACTTATTCTTCCTGTCTAACTGAAATTCCGTATCTTGTTCTTTTGTATATTTGTTTTATGCTTGTTTTTTGAGTCAGGCTCTCACTCTGTTGCCCAGGTTGGAGTGCAGCGGCACTCAGCCTCTTGGACCCAGACGATCCTTCCACCTCGGCCTCCCGAGTAGCTGGGACTACAGGTATGCACCACGACACCCAGTTAATTTTATTTATTTATTTATTTATTATTTTTTCTTGAGTTGGAGTCTCACTCTGTCGCCCAGACTGGAGTGCAGTGGCCGCTCCCGGCCACTGCAGCCTCGACCTGATGGGCTCCGACCATCCTTCCGCCTCAGCCTTTCAAGTAGCTGGAATAATAGGCGTGCGGCCACGCCCGGCTAATTTTTTGATTTATTGTAGAGATGACATCTCGCCAAATTGCCCAGGCGGGTCTCGAACCCACGGGCTCAGGCAATCCACTCACCTCAGCCTCCCAAAGGCGCGGGATTACAGGCTGAGCCACTGAGCCCGGCTTAATTTTATTTTTTTAT